TTGTTTGTCTGACTGTGTTGGATTTGCCTTCCAAAATCCGCCTCCTTAGGAGGACAGGCGCGACCTAAGGCTAGATTTGCACGAAGGATTGCACAAAAAAACGAAGGATTGCACAAAAACGAAGGATTGCACAAAAACGAAGGGTTTTTTTGTGCAATCCTTCGTTCAAACGAGGGTTTTTTTGTGCAATCCTTCCTTCTTCCAGAATCCGCCTCCTTAGGAGGACAGGCCCGACCTATAAGGCCAGATTTGCGGGCATCGGCCAGTGCCGGCCAGAGCCTGGCGCGGCGATCCGATGTCGGTCCGATCTCGGACGGCTCACGGGCGCCCCGACGACCCTGATCGAACCCGCCTCCGCCTCCTTCTCCCCCGCCTCCGTCCTCCTCCTCCTCCTCCTTCTCCCCCGCCTCCGCCGCCTCCTCCTCCTCCTCCTCCCTCCGCCTCCTTCTCCCCCGCCTCCGTCCTCCTCCTCCTCCTCCTTCTCCCCCGCCTCCGCCGCCTCCTCCTCCTCCTCCTCCCTCCGCCTCCTTCTCCCCCGCCTCCTCCTCCTCCTCCTCCTCCTCCTCCTCCTCCTCCTCCTCCTCCTCCTGATCCGATCAGATTGGAGAGGCCTGACGGCCGGTGCCGACGACCCTGATCGAAAGGGCTAGGAGTGGGGGGAGGAAGCGGAGGAGGAGGAGGAGGAGGAGGAGGAGGAGGAGGAGGAGGAGGAGACGACAAGTTCCTGACCTGATCCGATCCGATGTTTCGCGGCTCGATCCAGCTCGAACCTGCACCCAGAAGTCCGCCGACGTGACCTGCCCAAGTCGCGGCCGCAGAGCTCCCGAGCCCTGGCGCCCCGGGTCAATTGTCCGATGTCTCCCGAGGCCCGAGCGTGGACCCCGGAGGCCGAAGTTGGGGAGAGACGCCGGGACTGAAGAAGATCACATCGCAGAGAAAAAACCCAAGCAATGGATCAGAGCCCCGAATCATCAGGGATAACTCGGGTTCGTTTTTCGGGAATCCGAGCCCGAGTTACCCCGGACCCGAGTTACCCCGGATAACTCGGGCGTCCAGAGCCCCGAATCATCAGGGGTAACTCGGGCGCCCAACCCAAGCAGTGGATGCTTTGATCGATCAGGAGATCGACCGGGTAGCCGGAACCCACCGAAGTCGGCCCAGAACCGCGTATACCAGGAGCCCAGGAACCTGGACCCGGGAACCCGGGAACCCGGCCGGCCACCACAATCGGTGGGACGCTTCCGTCAAATCTTCCAATTTCCGCCAGGACTCCTTCAGTGCAAGCACTGATTGGGGAATATCGCCGGAGAGCCGGCTTTCGGGCCACAGCTCGACCCTGCGGCGGCCGTTCCGCGACGATCCGGACGGCCACCTTCCGAACGCTCTCGGCGAGGCGCAGCTGCTGGAAGCCATCTTGAGGCGGGAAAGCCGTCGGGGACCACCGAGACCTTCCGAGAACAGCCGTGGCTGAAGAGAATCACCTCGTCGGAGATCTGGGTTCGACTGCTGGAAGCCATCTTGAGGCGGGAAAGCCGTCAGGGACCAACGAGACCTTCCGAGAACAACCGTGGCTGAAGAAATTTTCATCGTCGGAGATTTGGGCTCGACTGCTGGAAGCCATCTAGAGGCGGGAAAGCCGCCAGGGACCAACGAGACCTTCCGAGAACAGCCGTGGATGAAGAATATCACCTCGTCGGAGATCTGGGAATCCATCCTGAGACGGGAAAGCCGTCAGGGACCAACGAGACCTTCCGAGAACAGCCGTGGCTGAAGAAAATCACGTCGTCGGAAATCTGGGTTCGACTGCTGGAAGCCATCTTGAGGCCGGACAGCCGTCGGGGACCAACGAGACCTTCCGAGAACAGCCGTGGATGAAGAATATCACCTCGTCGGAGATCTGGGAATCCATCCTGAGGCGGGAAAGCCGTCAGGGACCAGCGAGACTTTCCGAGAACAGCCGTGGCTGAAGAAAATCACGTCGTCGGAAATCTGGGTTCGACTGCTGGAAGCCATCTTGAGGCGGGAAAGCCGTCAGGGACCAACGAGACCTTCCGAGAAATGCCGTGGTTGAAGAAAATCTCTTCATTGGAGATCTGAAGATCTGGGTTCGACTGCTAGGAGCCATCTTGAGGCGGGAAAGCCGCCAGGGGCCAACGAGACTTTCCGAGAACAGCCGCGGTTGGAAAAAAAAACTCATCGTCGGGGATCTGGGTTCGACTGCTGGAAGCCATCTAGAGGCGGGAATGCCGTCGGGGGCCAACGAGACTTTCCGAGAACAGCCGTGGTTGAAGAAAATCACCTCGTCAGGGATTTGGGTTCGGACGCTGGAAGCCACCCTCAGGCGGGAAAGCCGTCGGGGGCCAGCGAGACCTTCCGAGAACAGCCGTGGCAGAAGAAAATCACCTCGTCGGAGGTCTGGGTTCGACTGCTGGAAGCCATCCCGGGGCGCGAAAGCCGTCAGGGACCAACGAGACCTTCCGAGAACAGCCGTGGTTGAAGAAAATCGCATCGTCAGAGATCTGGGTTCGACTGCTGGGGGCCATCTTGAGGCGGGAACGCCGTCGGGGAC